CCCGGCTGCTGCCAGCTCCTCCAATGCTTCTTCAACCTCGTGTGCCACGCGCTCACCACCGACCTCGATGCCATCGTAGGTAAAGTTGCCGGCGTTCCGCTTCGCCGCAAGAATATGGAGACGGTCTTCGCTGTATCGTTCCCTCAGCGATGAGGTGACGTAGTCGAGGTGGGAAGGATTGCCCCATAGTCTACCATGAGAATATATGTCAGCTAGTTTCAGCAGGAAGTTCGGGGACTGGGAGCTGACCCATGTACGAATACACAGAGGTGGTCGGCATTCCGCGACGTCTGGGTCGGCGGGTGGCCGTTATCGAGCTCCATAGTTGGCTGTGATTGAAATAGGGTGTCGAGAAGCTAGTGTCAACGTGCTGCTATGCTATACCGAGTAATTGTAGCCAGTTCATTTATCATCCTTTTATACAATCCACTGACTCACGGCCAATTCCTGAGGTTGGAGGCTGAGTATTTGCTGGCTGCTGTCAGCCAGTACACCATTGGCCCCTTACTAAGCCACGATAAGGAAACGTCATCGGAGGGATGCCTGTTCTGGACGGTCCCCGCCCTGCTGAAATCATCACCTATCCATCTGTTAGATTTCTCCATTACGGAGTATTGTGTGCACAAGTAATGATGGTATCCAGAGAGCCTAACCCTCCTAAATTGACTGGTGAGGTTGATAGGCAATCGTGCAGCTGCAGGTGCTTGTTTGCATGGTTTGCATGACCGCATCCCGATCCGCCGCTTCAGCTTCGGCTTCAGCTTCGTATCGCGAACCTGGCTTAGCTCCAGGAGGATTTCCTCCTTGTTCCATATCGAAATCTTCAAAGCTTCTTCCTAGCTGAATAGCTCAATAAATTTATCTCAGATCTGAACTGGGCTCAGCGAAAAGACACTGCGGGACCCACAAATTTTTGTCCTCACCGCAGTGGCTGGTTAACTGCCCATGGCAAGCATAGTCTCTGGATGAAACAGATGTGCTCGAAGCTCATATAAAACAGTCTATTCAGTTTTCTGAGTCGTATCGGATCTGTACCTGACATTGCGGCTAATACACAGCTTCAAACAATTCTTTCAGTTCGTCTGTATCTTTAGTACGTGCTGCGAAGCAACGCAAGGCATGAGTGAAATCTTTGTATACCAGCTATATACTCCTTTCTTCATCTACACTTGACTTTTTGTTTCGTTACTGAGCAACTCTTGCTATTCTACAATCACAATGTTTGCGCCACTCGGTCTATTCAAGGACATACCTTGTCCTGAAGGGCAAAATTGCTTGCTCTTGACCTGCATCTTCTCTCACAAGGACGTCGCCTCCAAATCAGCCCCTCAAGGAGCCCGTCAGAGCACCGATGTACCAACGGCAGCCCAAGGCGAGGCGGGACTTACTTCTGGCGACTCAGCCGTGAATTTTAAAGTACAAGCTCCGGGTGAAGAGAAACTCGCCAAGTTAAAAGACAAGGCAGCGTCTTTGCCTTCTAAAGCAGCTCCCAGTCAAGCTCCTGTGTCAACAACTTCATCGAACAAGCCAACCCAGACCAATGGACAAGCCAATGTCAGGCTCCAGTCTTTATCCAGGGAAGTCACGCCTCCGAAAAAGCCAACGTCTTCATCAGCAAAAGCAAGCGCCCCCGGCTCTCGAAAATCTCTCCCACCAAGGCAAGCACCACGAGAAAGCCTAAATCCTCGGATGCTAACGAAAGCACCTGCCCCCCATGGCGTGCGTTTGGCTATCCTCACAAAGCTGCATGCCGGTATGTCTGCTCTAAATGACAAGTTGGCCAAAGACAAAGAGAGCCAGGACAAATACCTGGTCCTTACCCCAAATGAGCTCATAACAATGGCCTTGGATGAAGAGGAAAAGACCGCGAAAGAAAACCCAAGCATATACTCCAATGTCATCAAGCTCCGCATAGTAAAGCTATCGAAAATGAGCAAGGAAGATTGGGCCAATGACGTGAAAGCCCATCTCAATGAGCGGTATTACAAGATTGCGCCCGGGCCAGAGCAGTCAAAGCCGAAACCACTTGAGACCGGGCTTAGTGCAAAGGAAGAGATAGCATTGGCGGGCAAGCTTGTGACACGTCTGGAGGGTCTCGAGCAGTACGGCTACGTTACTAGGCCTCCGACAGACGCTGAAGTGGAAGGTGCCAGGAAAGGGGTTATTGAATCCAAGGGATGGGAAAAGTGCGATCGATGTGGAGGAAGATTTCAAGTCTTCCCTGGCCGTCGGGAGGATGGAACTTTGACAACAGGAGGACAATGCACATATCACCCGGGGAAACCTCTCTATCCGCCCAAAAAGAAGACCGATCATATTACGGGGCACAAAGATGCGTACTTCTCTTGCTGCAACGAGTCAGTAGGGACTTCTGCTGGCTGTACCAAGGGCAAGACCCACGTCTTCAAGGTATCGGAAACCAAACGACTCGCCTCAGTACTCCAGTTCCAGAAAACCCCGGAACAATCAGGCAAGGGACGGCTGCCGCCAGTCTGCTTCGACTGTGAAATGGGTTACACAACCCTGGGATTGGAGCTGATTCGGCTAACCGCTGTTAGCTGGCCTCAAGGCAAGACACTCTTGGATGTCTTGGTTAGACCCATCGGTGAAGTCTTGGACTTGAATTCGAGGTTTTCTGGTGTTTTCCCAGAACACTACACGAAGGCCATCCCCTATGGCAGCTCTGGCTCTCAAGCGAGTTTACCGTTGGAGGAAGGGGAAGCAGACTCGCCTCCACTGCAGATTGTCGAGTCACCTGCTGCGGCCCGGGCGCTTCTATTCGAATGTCTTCAACCAGATACGCCACTCATTGGTCATGCGATCGACAATGACCTCAATGCATGCCGCATCATTCATCCGACAATTATCGATACTGTGCTTCTCTACCCACATCCCCGGGGCTTACCTCTCCGTATGAGTCTGAAGACTCTATGCCGGAGACATCTAGATCGAGACATCCAAACTGGAGGCAGCAGCGGCCATGACTCCAAGGAAGACTCGATCGCCACGGGCGATCTGGTGAGGGTCAAGGCAGCGGAGACATGGAAGGTTCTCAAGTCTAAAGGCTGGCGCATACATAACGACCAACTTGTGCCTCCACCAGGCGCCGATGCGGAAGCTGCGGCTGCACATGGAAGGCTTGGATCAGGAGCGGGCCAAAAGCGGAGCAGCTCGGCGTTAGGAGATTGAGGGAACAGCTATCGACGCCATTAATTACTTCTAGTGATACCCAGTTTACACGTACTCAAAATTGTACAACAAGCAACTACGTAATTTACAACAAAACATAATCAGGTTCGAGTGATAGATTGCTCTATTCAATCGTGTATCTACCATTCATAACGTCATGAGTAGAGGTAGCCATAACGAGCCAGAGCCGCCGCAGAGCGTCCACCTTTTCAGGAACAAACATCTCCGAGCCAACCACCAGTCATCGCCAAAGCGGTATAGGAATCCCTCCTTGTAGAACACATCTATACCCAAACCAGACATCCAAGTGATAACCCTCAATTCAGATATCGCTCCCATTTATTGGCAACCCCCTGACGCGAGCACACTTAGTCATCCGGTCATTTTTGGATTCTTTTGGTTGTTGTCATTCCGGAAGGAGTAATTTACTCCTCATCCTCCTCGCCCTCGTCGTTAACGACGTTGTAGAAGCGGAGCTCGTAGACACCCTTGGAGGTGGAGACGACACGGAGCCAGTCACGGAGCTGCTGCTTCTTGAGGTACTTCTTGGTGCTGTTGAAAGGTGCAGGTTAGTACATGTCGCACTGGTGGTACTATTTCGAGGTGAGAGGAACATACAGGTACTTCAGGTAGCGGCCAGAGAAGGGGATGTGAGCAACAACCTCGACCTTGCCGTCACCAGCCTGGGAGATGACGACCTTGTCACCGAGGTTGCCGACACGGCCCTCGACCTTGATGCGGTCGTGGAGGAACTTCTCGAAAGCAGAGAGGTCGAAGATCTTGTCGCTCACGGGCTGAGAAGCGTTGATGACATACTATAAAAAAATAATGGATTAGTAACTGTAAATTTTTTTTACTTGCGACTGCGATTGCGATTTGCGATAAGCACATACCTTCTTGGTGACCTTCTGGGCCTTGCGACCACGGGCCTATTGTCCGAGAAAAAATAATGATTAGCCTACTGTTCCATAATGTCGGATCCCCGGGGTTTATTCCATGAGAAAGATTTTATCTGGCATTTTCAACGCAGAGAAAGTATCTTCATGGACATGGACCCATTCGGGGAGAACAGCAAAGCGGTTTCAAGGAAGGAAACGTACAGCAACGGGGGCCATTGTAACGGATGGGAGGGGGTTTTTTGGAGGGGATAGAAAGAGGGATTAGCTGGTCGCAAAGAGGTGTATATCCTGCGCCTTGGGGAGAGAAATTGTCGAAGGTCGATGGAGATGCTCGAGTCGGACAAGTGCGTGTCACTAATCCGTTTTGGGTATGTGGATAGGGCTTCTAGTCCGCTGATTAGGGCAGCTGTTTATCATCTGACTGGGTAGATGGTTGGACCAATGATAGCTGTCTTAGTCATGAAGGCAGTTCTCGCTTGTTGGCCACCTCAACGGCACTAGCCGGTGTGTTGCGCACGGGCCACTTGGACAATTCTATATAAGCCTCTCGCACCCCCCGTCCTTTAGAATTTTTTTCTTTTCTTCTCCAGCTCTCTTTGCCTTTTGGCTTAGATCAAGTGTAGTATCTGTTCTTTTCAGTTTAATCTCTGAAAGTGTTCTAAGGAACACAACATTGATTAATCTTATTTTTGCACCCCGTGGCGAGACCTCTGTGCTTGCGCATGTCTTGCTGCACAGTGTCATCGGGCTTACACTATCCCCGATCGACGCGAACAACCCTTTTTTCATCAATTTGGTCGGCTTGTCCGACTGGTTGGAGAAGAAAGTGATGCAGTAGATACTTTATAGAATATAGAGCCATTTTATTACTGGGTCTTGTAGTCCGTTAAGCATTTGGTTAGAACCCTCATCCGAAACTTCGAGAAGGAGCAAGCAAAGCAACTTCTTCGTAACTACCCCCTCATCCACGTGATCTCTATCAACTACATCACTTGCAAGTTGCAAGAACACCAACGATTTCCTCTCGATAACACCAACTAGAAGTGCTATACATAGCGTTAAAGGGCTATAAGTCATTATCATGGGTTCCGTCGTTCTCCCGCATCTGCGTACGGCCTGGCACGTCGACCAGGCTATTCTCTCCGAGGAGGACAGACTTGTGGTGCGTATACATATCACCAAGTCAATGTCCTGGAGCATAGCAGATGATGCTAATCAGAGCTGTATAGGTCATCCGATTCGGTCGCGATCACGATGTTGACTGTAGGACATCACGAATCTCTCTCAATCACAAGAAGACGATGCTAATACAGTGAATCGTAGGCATGCGTCAAGACGAAGTCCTTTTCAAGATCGCCGAACGAGTGAAGAGTACGTCAAGAAATTCTTTATCCATTTCTCTTTCCCATACCACTGTCTTCGAAAGGGAAAAAGAAAAAAAATAGAAAATCTCAGTGACTAACTGCCCAACCAGACTTCGCTGTCATCTACCTCTGCGACATCGACGAGGTACCCGAGTTCAACACGATGTACGAACTCTTTGACCCAATGACCATCATGTTCTTCTACCGGAATAAACACATGATGTGTGATTTTGGCACGGGTAACAACAATAAGTTGAACTGGGTGCTTGAAGACAAGCAGGAGATGATCGATATCATTGAGACCATCTACAAGGGTGCGAAGAAGGGACGTGGTCTGGTTGTTAGTCCGAAGGGTAAGTCTATCTCTTGCCTGATTATCTTTTTACTGGCTGGATGGTTTGGCTGATGCATTAATTCTGCTGTAGATTACTCGACGAGGTACCGCTACTGATTGTCGTGCTTGTTGTGGGGTTGGTTCTGTTTGGGTTTTGCTATGACTTATGAATGTGTGGGCTTTCTTAGAGGCTCGTTAGGTTAGAATTGAGATGAATATGATGTTCTCTATCACTAGTGACTCTTGCTTGTAATTAGGAGCAGCTGCATGGTGGGGTGTATCTTGCTTTCGTAGTGGCATTGCAGTTAATGTAACCTGGGAAATACTGAAACAATACAAAAACATCAAATTCATCAACATTCTCAGAACCCGTGAGTAAACCTAAAATCCTTTTCTGCAGTAAAACATTCACCCATCATCTCTAGTATTGGTAGTCATCCGCCGTGATATAAAACCCAAGCCAAAGCGGCAGAAAACGTGCCCCACAATTTCTCTTTTCAGCTTTGTTTCCCTGACGTAACATTCATCAACATCTCTCCCGCAACGCGAATCCCAATCAATTTAGTATCACTCACCACAACACATCAGATAATAAAACAAATAAATCAAGATGATCGATCACAACATCTTCGAAGACCTGCAGGCCAAGATTGATGAGGAGGCTGCGGTCCGCGATGTAAGTTGACCCGTGCCCGCGCCAAGCGCAGAAACAAACCCGAAAGCAAAGTGCCGCTGTGCTAACGAGATGTACAGGAACTTCATGATATTGTGCAGACGCTGGCTAGGAAGGGTATTTACCTGCTCATTCCGTTCTCTCTCAATTATCGCATTGAGGGGATGCTTAATTCAAGGGAATGGCTTGGCTGATGTTCTGGATAGGAAGATCTACCCAGGCTATTCTGTCGCGGGCTCATTCTACACCCACTGATCAGTGTATGTAACACTCTTTTCTCCATCTATCGGAAGGGCATTCAAGGGATATAGCTAATACGAACAGTGAAACCCGTCCTCGATGACGCAACCAATGAGATCATCGCCCAGAGAGATGAAGTATCTCGGTTGAAGACCGTGGCGGACAAGCACCCGTTTTACAAGTACAATGGGGTGTGGACGCGCGAGTTACAGAATCTTGTGCGTGCCTCTTCTATTACTGGGGTTTGATTGTTGCAGATAAGAGCTAATCAGCTGACCAATAGGTCTCATCCATCGAGCTCTGCGCTTGGCTAGGCGGACTGGAAGAGTACAAGACGAACAGCTCCTCTTCGTTCCTGACGATTGAAGAGGTTGGGAAGTTCCTGGGTGGTATGTCCTCTGTCTATTTCCTACCTTTGAGAAATTCAGAGTGTCAACTTGGATCTAATGATAATATTTAGTCCCCGTGAATCTCAAGGAACAGGATGCCTTCCATCTCACTATTGAGGAGTATCTGCTTGCGCTGATCTCTATGGTTGAGGAGTTGGTCAGTCATCCCCTCCCCCTGAAATTGGCCTGTTATTGGAATGTCTTTTGCTAATAGAGTATATGGCAGGCCCGTCTGGCTGTCAACTCGGTCACTCTCGGTGACTATACCCGGCCGGTGCAAATTGGCAATTTCATCAAGGATCTGTTTGCGGGATTCCAGTTGTTGAATCTGAAGAATGATATTCTGCGGAAGAGGAGTGATGGGATTAAATACAGTGTAAGTTTCCACCTTCCACAGGTGGGTCTAAGTTATGGGATGCTAATATGGGGGTACAGGTCAAGAAGGTGGAGGATGTGGTTTACGATCTCTCTTTGCGCAATTTGATCCCCAGGGGAAGCGCTGCAGCATGATTTGAAACACGGAGATTAAATTAGCATATGAATTGATATGAAATAACGACACTGTCCAGAACACGGCAGTTGAAAAGTTTCGTTTCGCAACACCAGTCGCCTAGCGTAGCGTAACAGCCATTATATAATACTCGGTATAGTATAAAAGACAGCAGCAGCAGCTACTGCTGCATGGTATCATCCCAACCAAACACCCGTCCTCTCAACACAAATATAATATAAATATGATATCACACCCTAAGCCGTCGCCTCCTCCTTCTTCAACGAAGCCAACGAGCCCTCCTTCTTCGCCTTCTCAATCTCCTTCAGAATCGGCTCCTCCAACGACTCAGGCTTGGTCAAACTAGCCCAGCGACCCACAACCTTTCCATCCGCCGAGATCAGGAACTTCTCGAAGTTCCACTTGATGCGCTTCAGCCCCAACAGACCGGGCTGCTGCTCCTTCATCCATGTCCACACCGGCGCGGCCTTGTCACCATTCACGTCCAACTTGCCCAGCACGGGGAAGGTCACTCCGTAGTTGATCTGGCAGAACGACTGGATTTCGTCGTCGGTTCCGGGGTCCTGGCTTCCGAACTGGTTGCAGGGGAATCCGATGATGGTGAAGTCTTCCGGGTGCTTAGACTTGATGTCCTGGTAGAGCTTCTCGAGGCCTTGGAACTGAGGCGTGAAGCCGCACTTGGAGGCGGTGTTGACGACGAGGACGACTTTGCCTTTAAGGTCGGTGAGGGGGAAAGGGGAGCCCTTTTCTGTTGAGAGGGGAGGGGTGGTTAGTTGGGTATGAAGCTAGGGGGTGGGGTTGAAGGAAGTGAAGGAGGGTGAGTAACGTACTGTCGACAGGCTCAAAGTCGTAGAAGGTAGTCGCAGAAGACATGGTTGATAGTAGTCTTGATGAATGTGACGAAAGGGATGGTGGAGAGTGAATGCGCTGGAGAGGAAAAATGTTCCGGTGGCTTGATCGCAGTGATGTCGCAAGGTGATATGGACCAGTAAGAGCAGTAGTTCTAATGAATCGGACTGGTACCAGGGAATGCGCAAGTAGATATGTAGTTGATGAGGTGAGTCTCGACCTTGAGGATGATAAATCAGTGAATGGGATGATCGATGACAAACGCATCAGCGACTAAGAAGAGAAGAGAAGAGGAGAGGGGGTCCAGCAGTCAATAATCGTCGCAGGCGCGCAAATCCCAAAGAGGAGGGGAAATGGAACCAGATGGATCGGGAACAAGAGATTCCGGAACCCGAACCAGTATCGATGTCATCATTAGCAGAAAATGGCCTGAATGATTGCGGGTCGATCGATACGGTTTCGGGCCCAAAAGTGGCTTGGGGTTTGTTGCACGTGTAAATTCCCGTTACGGCGCCACCGGCGCTTTTGCTGCTTTGGGTTTGGTTGCATTTATGGCGATTGTGGTTGGTTGAGGATGCAGGGTTATTATGCACAATGGGATTGATTAGTGATCGGGGGATATTGGGTGTTCTGATCAGTGCACTGGTGGTTCATTTAGGAATTCCAAATACTTGAGACTCGAGGTGGATACAATATATTGTAGGTTCTGGGGTTTTAAATTAAGGCATGGTCATCATGCACGGCTATTGGAGCTTAGTGGCATTGGCTCTTCTCGGGACTGGGGCACCGTATAATCTTCGTATCTATCCGTTACCCTTGCCAGACTTCATTATGAGAAGACACAGCATTAGTGATATATTCATTCTAGACCCTCACATCGTACAATTCGGCAGACCACATTCCACGCTATCCACATATTACCCAACCAGCTATACACACTCCTGACTCGAATCACAATTCAAGCCCCATCGCCGAACAAGCCCACGCACACAGGTACGTTGGTGGTTTGCCCCATCCACGGTACGCACATCTCCCATCCACAACCCCCCGGACGCGGCTTGCCTGCACCGCGAGGAACATCCGGTATCCGTGTTCCGTCCGAACGATCATGGCCAGCGGCAAAATACCGATATAGTCTTGATCGACCCAATAATCGGGCACATCTAACCCTCATGAGATGTCCCATGTAGCGTGTAGCATGACATAGCACAGTAAACCTCGCATTTGCTTTTCCTGTCTCCATCTGCACTAAGACAGATCCATCATTCATTTCTCATCATCCGCATCTAGAACATCCACGTCCAATTCTTCCATCACTCCAAGCACCACTGCCAGGTTTTCCATAAAGCCATTCACAGAGACACGCAGCATGCGATTCGTCGTCGCGCAGTAGGTCGTCTCCAGCACAGTTTTGGCCTCTTCGTCGGCGGTTTGCTCTTTGGTCGGCGTTGTCAGGGCGAAACTGCGCTTCACGAAGGGGGAGAGCTCGGTGTCAACCTCGAGGGTGCGCAGGGCGGCGGACGCCAGGCGGTTGGTAGGGAGAGGGAGAGAGATTGTTCTGTTGGGATTCGTTGTTGGTTAGTGGTGTTGAGGTGATATGCCCAAGGGGAGTTTGGCTCTTCTTACAGGGTGTAGGGGAATTCGGAGGGGGTTCCGTTGGAGGCCATGGTGATATGCGTATGGCTTTCTGAGATATTAGGAGGTTTAAGTGAGTTCAATGCAACAGCAACTCGAATTCGTGTAATAAAGAGCGCAACGCTGGGGAGAAAGATTGATATTGAGGCGGGGAAAGAGTGGGATGTGCGATAAGGCATGAGTAAGCATTGCGGCCTCAGGCTACAACGAGTGTTACTGATAATATGTATGGCCTGGCGACGTCTGCCAGCCTATTATTTCTCGCAAGCAGTATTGCAAAGCATTTCAGCCACCATTTTCTAGTTGAGTACTGAACATTTGTTCTGTGTAGCCAGGTTACGCCATTGCCAATATAATTTGAAAAGACTAGAAACAGTGGGTTTATCATCGAGCAATTTTATCCATGCTATTTATAATCATCTGTTTACTTTCCTTCATCGACTACAAGGCAGCAGAATGGGTGTGGCTTCAAGACATTACAATTATTCTGGTATCAAAGTATATATACGGCAGGGGGAAGTCTCCCCAAGGCTGCTCTCCTCGGCCAACAGAGAAGATACGCTCGAATGTACAACAGAACCGCTCTCCCACAAAGTCATGACTTCGTTAAGGTTTCCCTGGTCGAAGGTTTCCATGATACACCACTGAATATAGAAGTGTATGTCGTGGGAGGAGGCAGAAACTGTTTGGACTGGTCATCCTTTACACAAGGGAAAGGACAGACTGAAGGTTGGCAAGACCTCCTAGGCCATTGTCAGCGATGTTTCCTTCGAGATTTTCTTAGATCAACTTACCGTTCTGGCTGAGGAGGTCCAGGACCTTCTCAAGAGCGCCGGCGGTCAGGTCACCTTGGAAGAGTCAGTAAGCTTACTTTACCACTCATACTCAGGATTTCACTTACCGCTCTGGATCTTGGCGACAAGGGTCTCAGAAAGACCAGAAAGGTCAGTGATGTCGCGCTTCAGGTTGACAGCTGGTATAATCTTAGCTACTGGACATGGATCTGGGTTATTGTACATACCACCAGAGACAACACCGCTGGCTGCTCCCTTGACAGTGCCGACGGCTCCGCCAGCCGCGTTGACAGCAGGGGAGGCGACAGAGTCGACAGCACCACCAACTGTCTTGACAACAGGAGAAGCAACACCACCAACGGTCTTGACAACAGGAGAAGCAACACCTTCGACAGTGTTGACGGCTCCACCAACAACGTTTCCAACAGTGTTAACAGCACCGCCAGCAACACCCTTAACGGTGCCAGCGGCATCACCAGCGATTCCGACCACAGGCGTAGCAACGCCACCGACAGTGCCGGTAAGGTCACGCTTGTTGGAAGGGAGCAGCTGGGTCAGCTTGCCTTCGATGGTGGAAAGTTCTACATATCTAATCTTAGTGGGTCTCCCTAGCAAACTTTCACGGCCGTAGATAGCATACCGTCTTTCAGATCAGTGAGGTCGGTGGTAGCGCAGCCAACAAGGCCACCGACAACATTGTCGACTTTTCCGAGAACGCCGGTCAGCTGGCTAAGAGTGGACTGGACGGTAGTATCCACAACCGGGATAGCGGCAGCAGAGACACTGCCAGCGAGGGCAAGAGCAGCAATTCCAGTGAACTTCATTGTGATGTATTGTTGGTTGGAGGAATAAGATAAAGAAAGATAGTGAGTGTATTGTAGTTGCTATAAAGGAGCGAATGAGGGTTTGGGGATTTAGAGAACGACTGACAGTGAGCGAAGTGCTTGGGAAGAGAAAGGACAGCAACTGGGAGGACACTCCATTAAATAGACGACACTGGAAGAGATTTCGTGCTGGGCTTTGATTCAGGGGAAGTTGGCAATGAAGCTGACTTCCATATCCATCGATTCGGGCACCTTAGGAGTTCGCATGAATGAGGATCGACATCGAGATCCAATGACACCACTCCGTCGTTTCAGATGGGATGGTAGAACGCCATTCAACCGATGAGCTTAATCCAAGCCCGCAAGCTATCAAGAACATAGCAGGCAAAGTTGATGCCAGCCTGCTCTGACCATATGGGTTTACATCGCATATAGAACCATACTCATTCATGCAGTTTTGATGATGCAAACAATACCCGTTCGTTGGCGCATATTATGGTGCTGAAAAGTGTTGGTGATTATTTGTCTCTCACGATGTAGTATGCCATAACCAAATTTCAGACAAGAATCGATAGTGCTTGAGGTGGGCGGGTATGAATTGACCTCTGTCCCTTTCTCTTACCGTGGGATAGGGATTCAATAGTGAAATCTTAAATGGTGCTCCACTTTGAATGCGATTGCCGATGATGGTCAAGACTGTTGCATTGGCAGTACTGCGGAGGTTAATATCTGTACCTCATTAAACCTCCGTGGGCAGCGTGGGGCTCGCCCAGAAACCCCGCGGAACCTTATCCTGTATATTCCTGTTCTGTTCGGCATGGTGATCATTGACCCAGAAGTTTCAAAGGCTTATAGTCAGCTGTTAGCTCGGCGAAGTAATCAAAATCCTGGTCCCAGTCGAAGGGAAGCGTTCGATAGGAGCAACTCAATGAGCAGATTACTATTAATCGCGTAGTCCTTTTTTTTTGTGTGTGTGTAATTAAGCAACAGGGAGTTTGAACACAGCGGCGCGACGAGTTCAATACCAGCAATGGCAAGGTGATGGTGTGCAGGTGATTTAGGTTCGCAGAAAAGCCAGCCGCTGTCTGCTTGCCAGGTTGCCAGGTACCTCCATCCCTGTCGATCCGATCCACCCACTACATTTCGAGAACCGTTGTTGGGCAGAGCGATCAGCATAACGATAAGGCGCAGATTCCAACCGCAATCGGCTTGCTAACCACCCATACGCTAACCGAGTATAGCATCCCCACTAAATATCATTTTTGAGACTGCCCATGCCATACATCATTCGTGTTCGCGCTAGCTCAATGACCCCGTCATCGGCCGAGATTCAAACGAAAGTATCATCGGCAAGCACCTCCGGTACCTGACCACGGTCGGAAGGGCCTTCATCCATTACCAAGCAAAGTTTTTCCAGTAGTAATCGTATGTCCTGGTGGATGAAGTACTCCATTAGTCCTGTTAGATAGTTACTAGTCAGGTACAGGACGGCTTGGCTTTCAGGTGCACGATGGGTGACGTCAGAGGCTAGGAGATTCCGGATGACGAAGTCCACACCAGTGACTTTTTCCCTCTGCGCTGTGCTGCTGAAATGGGAGGAGTATATGTGTAGTGGTAGGGGTAGGTAACAGTAGACTGAGCCAAGTGAGGCGTTGGTGTGGAAGGATCAACAGGTAACCTGAACTCAAAAGGGTCAGCGGGAACTGCAGCCTTTGCAATTAAACGAGCAAGCAGAATTGTCTGCAGTTTGTTGTCCCTAATTTTGCGCAGCTCTACTTAGTAGTTGCTGTATTCATATTTCTAGCCCATTATCAGAATCACTTATATTAGTGCTGCGCGATTGTCTGAAGTTTTCGTCTGTTAGTACCATCGTGGCGTAATGTTGAAGACATATGTGGTCCACTATATATATATGTCGACACGACTAGCTTCAGACAGGTGAAGTAAATCCTGGTCAGAATTGCAGCAATGAACACAGCAGGAATGACAGAGAAAAGTTTAAGTGAGGGCTGGCTGAAGAAACAATCCGGACGGTGAGACCTTCGTACTGATGAGGGGACCAAGTTGATGCGACAACCATCCTGATACCAACAACAATGGCCGCAAAACAAACAATGGTCACGGGCTGTCACATGGTTAGGGGTGCAAATGTTTGTGGCTGGTGAGGATGGGTGTGGCGGACCGTTTGTTTGATCGGTTTGCCTGTGGAGAGGCAGCAGAAGCTGACTAAGATGACAGTCTCGTGACGGTCAGGGACATCACCCGGAGCTACGGCAGCCTGAGGCACCAGACGTTGTCCTGTCAACGGCGGCCGCTAGGCCGGATCAGGGGAATCACAACATAACAGCAGCCACTGAGCGTGCATCGCAGTTGCCCCCCAAAGCAGACTCATCGGCCTCGAGCCTATCTTCTTCTCGTGCGGCCAACTTTTCCCTCACTTCCTCTCCTCTCTCTTCCCCTCACGCTCCGCACTGTCGGTCTCCAGCCTCTACCGCTCCCTGTCCGGGCTCGTGTATATCTTCCTCCTCCTTCCCTGGACTTCCTCGTGCTATCCTTACCCTATCGGCACCCGTGTTTTATTTGCATCACCTTTTGTTTAGGAGCGCCAACAGATCAGATCATGAGCCTTTAGTCCAGAACTGTTATTTTGTTTACTTTTCTATCAATCGACAGAGCTCCTCGACTCCTTTCAATTGCAGCATTGCATCTCTTGACAGGTTCATCTTGTCAAGTATTTCCTTCCCTCATTCCTCGGACTACACGTTGCCCCCATTAGCGACTATTGTTTTGATTGTCGCATCGCCCAAGTCAAGATGGCTACCAACAGTGGTTATGGGCAAGTGATTGAATATATTCAAGGTTCGTTAGCTTCCTGCCATCGCCGATGAGCATGTTGGATTAGCAACAGCTGGAAACTACATCGTCAGTGGAAGTGTTTATGTGCAGCTTGCTAAATGTTCGGGCAAAACAGATCGTCTCTACCTCGCCTCCTACGATAACCCTCCCGATGCACGAACCCCATTTCCTTATCCCCTGGAGCAGCCGAGATCACCGTCCAAGCGCTCTGCGAGGGCTCAGCCTAGCACTCCTAGCAAGAAGCGCAGTCCCGTCTATTTCACAGTAGATGATGTCTTGTTGTACAACTCATTCCATGCCGATTTCGGCCCTCTACACATCGGTCACTTGTATCGGTTCGCGGTCCAGTTCCACGAGATTCTTGGGGAGCCTGAAAACCGTGATCGTGCAGTGGTGTTCTACTCTAAGACGGATGCACGAAGCCGTGCTAATGCTGCTTGTCTGGTTGCCTGCTACATGGTCCTGATCCAGGCCTGGCCCCCGCACCTCGCCCTGGCACCAATTGCGCAAGCCGATCCCCCGTACATGCCATTCCGTGACGCAGGCTATAGTCAGGCAGATTTCATTCTAAACATCCAGGATGTCGTCTATGGTGTGTGGAAAGCTAAGGAGCAGTCGCTCTGCAGCCTCAGGGACTTTAGTCTGGAAGAGTATGTATTATAGCAATTGGCTCTTATTGACTCTACTGACATCTTTGTTAGATACGAAAAGTTTGAGCGTGTTGACATGGGTGATTTTAACTGGATCACCCCGCAGTTCCTCGCTTTCGCCTCGCCGCAACATCAACCGATTGCGCCAATCCCTCAAAACACGCCCGAGTTCGCAGCGCTTCCATCCACCGTCTCTGAAGTCCTTTCTTCAAAGCTACCTCTTCCTTTCAAAAACGTTCTGGCGCACTTTTCATCCCGTAACATCGGCCTTGTTGTGAGACTGAACTCCGAGTTGTACTCTCCCTCCTACTTCACGGCTCTGGGCATCACCCATGTGGATATGATCTTTGAAGACGGAACCTGCCCTCCCCTGCCACTTGTGCGTCGCTTCATCAAAATGGCACACGAAACGATCTCTAAGAAGAAGGGCATTGCTGTTCACTGCAAGGCCGGTCTGGGACGGACTGGATGCTTAATCGGCGCATACCTCATCTACAGATACGGATTCACTGCCAACGAGATCATTGCTTTCATGAGATTCATGCGACCAGGCATGGTAGTCGGTCCTCAACAGCACTGGCTACACCTCAACCAGGGCTCTTTCCGCGAGTGGTGGTACGAGGACTCGATGAAGGAGAAGCTGGCTCAGATGCAGGCTGCTCCCATCACCCCTGGACGGCCATCTACCAGACAGCGGGCCAATGGACCTGTCGCTACGCCGCCGAACAACGGCCATTCTAAGCGTGCTGCTCTTGGCGAGATCGACCACAACGAAGGAGCTGGGGCCCCGGCGGAAGAGTACCTCCCCGCACCCACTCCTGGACAGCCTCGCAAGTCACACAGAAAAGACTCCCGCCATCACCCCTATGCCCGTACCACATCTGGAAGCTTGGTTGTCGACAAGGATGGCAACAAGAATTCCGAACAGACCAGCAACAGACACCACCGTCTTAGCAACGACAGCAGCGAGAGTGAAGAGGAGATTCAATTGCGTTTGTTGGCGAAGCGTTCCTCCAGATCCCCTGTCGCATCTCCCAGTCAGCGGTCCGTTAGTTACTCTGCTACGGTAACTGCTAGCTACACCCTGAATGACGATGATCGAGAGAATTGGGGCGATGCTGCCGCGTATGCAGCACCGAAGACTCCTGTCAGCACCAAGAGTGGCAGTGGAGCGATCGCAGTAACAAAGGTTCGGACGAGCCCCAGGCGTGCAACAGACACGAGGAGTGAGACGAAGGTTCGGAAGGCTAGCGGCCGCGTTGGCAGTGCTGGAAGTCCCACGCGGGTGAAATAAACGCCTCACCGGCGCAGGTATACTTCTTTTCTTCTCCGCGCTCTTGAGCCTTTTCAGATATCCTTTTCTTCATTTCTACTTTTTGCCTATTGTTGCTGCCGGGGTATAATATGTGCATAGTCCCGCGTATTTTCTCTTCTTTGCTACCTGCGCTTTGACTTTACACCTTCTTTTTTTGGCAATTCTTCGGTGCGGTTGTGGGTGTTGGGTTCTGGTGCAAAATCCATGGGTCTGGGTGTGCGTGTTTATGGCGTCTGGTTACACTGTCGATGGTCAAATGATATCTAGAAGTTTGTCTGGAATACACCAAGTCTTTGACTGGCACATGATGTTTATAGTGTGTCGAGTGGCTGTTATCGATCAAACGCGTTTCTCTGTACGTATATGATCTACGTCGATATGACCGATTCGTTATGACCTGTCTTTGTGGAATGGCTGCTCCGTAAATACTTCCTCAATCTCGGCCATTGTAGCAGTGAAGCTTCTCGCAGAATGCTCGTATGTCCACGCAGGTAGTAGTTTATCGATCGGCCCTCACTACCACCCTCGTATCGAGCGATGTAACGAACCACTTGATTTGGCAAGCAAATCATCCGCATCGCACTATCTCTGTTAGAAAGCAACCAATTGCATTTCTTCGACTGCGAAGCTATGCCACCTAAAGCAGTATACAGCAGCTACTACCCTCTACCACGGCCGTCCGACCTAAGAGAGGAACCGCTCGGTTCCAGCATCGTGGTCCCTGACGGCACTAAACAAATCAAGCCTTGGAAAAAGCGATATTCTACTTTTTTGACTGGCATCTGTCGAATATAGTAGTACTGAGTGTGTGGTATTTGCTATTCCATTTCATAGGATATTGACAATTGAATGCACATTTTGCAACTATGGGATATGAATATAGAATAGACATCATTCATAACAACTAGCATTGTTAGTCTAACGGTTATGATACTCGCCTTCCAAGCGAGTGGCCGGGGTTCGACTCCCCGACAATGCATCTTTTTTTTTTCTTCCGCTTAGTATACCTTCCGTCCTGCAAGTTGCTTCTCTTTTTGCGATAGAGCGTTGTTTAAGGAATGGGTCCAATAACTAGAATTATATTTTCTCACTGTACGCATCAATGAATAAATTGGAAAGGCTGTTTATCTCGTACGGCTTGGTTATTGACTTGTGTCGAGGGGTTGAAGCTTGTATGTTTGCATGCTACTCCTACTTTAGGATAGAGCCACGCTTCTCAGAAGTTGAGAACTATAACTTTGTCTACAAAATAGACACCCCTTCCAGCTATTTGTCACTGTCGTCATCGAAATTATACACTGTACCTTTCAATCTAACCCTAACAATCCTTCCATACTATAAATCATCAAACACTTGAGCAATTACCCTAACAAACCCCCTCCAAATGCACCCGAATCAAATCCCGATACTCCCCCGCCCTCGGCGTACTCTCCTCAATCCCCTGCACCTTCGCCGCATCATCCCAAAGCCTCAACTTGACCATCTCATCGCGCAACGGATCCGTCTCGAAGGCTTCTAACTCTGCTCCCTTGAACGGCCCGCCTTGAAACTCGAGTGATTTCTTCGATGCGGATGATAATGTCTCGTAGTATGCTTTGTCTGTGGCGGTGAGGTATCTACCACACACTCATTTGTCTTCTTATCAGTATACGATCTACATATAGTAGTTGTGGGAGCCAAGGGGAGGGGGGTAATGTACCGCTTCGCAGGAACATGACTCTCAACTAACCGACACACCTTCTCACTGAAGCCCAGTGAACGAAGGTATTCCGCTCCGATAGTCTCGTGGCCCATTCGACCGACATTCTCGGTGCATTTATTATCGTTATTGGATTTCAGGTTCATCCGGACTTCCTTCGTGGATGAGAGGGGGATAATTTGGCCGATGTCGTGGAGGAGGGCGGCGAGAATTAGTTCGGGGGATGCGCCTGGAAGGAGTTTATTTTGTCAGTCTATTTTGTTCGTTTCTTATGGTGATTATTCGGCATTCAAGTGGTTGAGCGGCTCTCGTACCTGATTTCCGGGCTTGGTGCGCGGCTTGTAGACAGTGTTCGAGCTGGCTGATGGATTCGCCGATGTAGTCGCCTTGTCCGTATTCTTCGAGGGAGGTCACGAGGTACGTGGCTTTTTCGAGGGGGGTTTGGAGGGCCATTATGAAGAATTGGGCCGGGGGGAGATGTGTGGAGGTGGTAGATAGTATGCTCTGGAGGGAGGGAAATGATATGGATGTGGGACGAGTGACCAGGGAGAAAGAGGGGTTTTATAGGTGCGATTTTCTGCTGGTTTCATGAACCCACGTGCTGTCGCTTCTATTAGCCTCGATTACGTTAATGCTGAATTGGATTATGAATATCATCTTCTGTCTTGGAATAATTGAATTTGGATCCTTGGCTGCGTGAACTTTTGATGATAGATATTGCTATGTTGTGGACAATCGTTTGATCTACATAATTTACTACTTCGTGGTATAGAATTAAGATGTAGAACGCCAGACTATCGACTCCTTCCTTCCAAATGTCTTATTCGCCCGTTCTTAGCAAGCTATGCATTCATGAAAATTGCACCCTAAATTTACGCTACGCAAGTACCGGCTGTTGACCCTCGACCGTCAGCATCGGGGAGCCGTAGCCATACCGCATTCTGCCCTCCTCATACGTCTCCCCCTCTTTACGCATGTGCGTGGCAGGCCACAGCTTGCGGCGGTCCTCATAGTACTGATCGTGCAGGTCGCCCTCAGCCAGACGGTTGTATGTGGCGTAGATTGCGCGTCGGTCCTTGGAGCTGGTGTTGGCGCCACTCTTGTGGGCAAGATAGGAGCCAAAAACGAGAATGTCACCTGAGTAAACTGATGGTTAATTTTTGACCAACAGTTTTCAGAACAAACATACCCGGTTGTAGATTGCAAGGTGTCCATGTTTGGCTCTTGACCCAGCCAGGCTCAATGCAGCGGTCCTCTCCAAGCGGTACCTCCATAAGGTGACTGCCGTTGACCACGTCAAGTCCACCATTCTCTGAGGTCATCTCGTCAACAGCAGCAAGCACCGTCAGGTGCTTAATTTTTTTGACATGGGTGTATGCATTGGCGTCGATGTGAGGAGAGAAGCCACCTGCGTCGTATTAGCTGCTTTTCTGTCTAGTGCAGCAGATGTTTTTTCCTTACCACTACCAGCGAGTTTGTAGTTGATCTTCTCTTTGAATAGGATCATGTCCTCTGTAGCTAGCTGACGGAGAACGCTTAAGATGCGTTCACCACGCAGAAAACTGTCGAAGCCAGCATGAGAATTGGCATAGTTTTCTGTGCGGCAGAGGACCCTTTTGCCTTCGGCATTGACTTCCTGCAGCCGGGATAAGTTCGCTAGCCGGTTGCTAAGAAAAGGTGACACTTGGGTCTCACCTCATAGGGCATATAAGTTGCATCTGGAGTCCTTGGGAGATCGTGTACTTCCTGAGTCCACTGTTGTAGGACCTTGGTCTCAGGAGGATTGAAGAAGCCCTGGATGAGCAAGTATCCCTTCTCCTCGTAGAACTGGAGTTGATCCTCTGTCAGCGCGTAATAGCTGTTATCCATGATGCCAGTCTTGCTATTGTCGGACTAATACTTCGGTTCAACCTGCAGAGAGCACATGTCCTTTTTCCCGACCGAGATTGGGGCCATCGCACTCATAAATCCTCTAATGCGAGCCCCCCTTGCTCGTGAACGTTACTTCCAGCTGCCGACCTTCATATGTCACTATGCCGGGCCGGTGCGAGGTCCGTGTTCCAGAGCGGGGAATGTCGGAGCACGAGGCAGAAGTATCAGCGAGGGGTTGCGCAGAGTCCAGGCACGAGACAGGCTGACCCTTGAAGGTATCTCGAGGCATAGAACCACTCAGGATGCGATAAAACGCCCATGTGCCCGGGACGAGGCGCTATCATAGGGCGCGGGCCGTTCTGATAAGCCCCGCCGGACTACGGGCCTTCCTGCCTAAGCGAGGCGGAGATCCCCGCCAGGGCCCTGTCTAGACTGGGTATAGTTTGTCCTTTCTGTTACATTAGATAGACCTCGCCGAAAACTCTCCGCCTGCTGTACGAAAGGTGGGTTCGTCTGCCAGCAGCGATGCAACACTATGTATCTCGTGCGAGCCATGCCGGCTGCCATTGGATAGCATGGCACGTTCTCGAGGAGTCCAGTGTTCCCAAAAGAACTATTAGCTGCACTGAAGTAGATGTAGTGAGGATGCAACGGACAAGTTAAGGACAGACTATAGCCCACGAAGTCGCAGTCATTCCTTTTGCCCGATAAAAACACCTCTACAGTCGACACATTGGCATCTTTTATCATGGCTATAGTAACCAATTGCTCCGCGACCGAACGGGTTGAAAACACCTTGAAGCATAGCCATCAGGTCGAGATAATCAAGCAAGATGACACCAATGCTATCGAGAATGGTGAGTTAGGGGCCTCATCAGGTGTTCTGAATGTTGTCGTCTCGGGACTGGGACTCTTCAGTGATGGATATAATGCTCAGATCAGTGAGTACACCTTTAGCGAAGCCTGTGCTTAGCATGTCATGCCCAGATTGCGTAAGGAACTTCACTAAACTCAGTATTCGCAAAGTCGGCTACATGGAGCCTCTATTTTCTGTCTTGTTTGTCCCCATCAGGAGCCCCATAGCTTAGGGCTATCTATTAACGCTGTCATTGGCATTAGGTATAAAAATACCATGTCCTCAAGCATCAAAACCAGACTATCAAACTCTTTCCTAATTGGAGAGATCTTTGGTATGCTCTTCTTCGGTGCTTTGATTGACCGAGTGGGAAGACGGACAGGAGTGGTGGCTACTACCTTGTTCTTGGTGCTTGGTATCATCTTGTCTGCTGCAGCACACGGTACCTCGGATTTGGGGTGAGACTCGCTTCAATTGAACGAAGTATTGACTAGAAGTTTTGACTCTGTGATTAGGATGTTTTGGATGATGATTGTAGCTCGCGGTATCGCTGGGTTCGGCGCTGGTGGCGAGTATCCTGTCTGCGCAACCAGTGCAACTGAAGCGGCTGATGAGACCGCCAGCCTCCGGAAGAAGAGAGGATTTCTGGTCGCGTCGACCACAGACTTTGCTGTGGATATGGTGCGTACCTTAATGCTCCTAGGACTGGGACCCACATCACTAAATGTATTTGATTAGGGTTTCGTGGCGGCCGGTATAGTAGCCCTCATTGTTCTCGCATGCTTCCACCAGGATGTCAAGGGTGGTGTTTGGAGAGTCTGTTTTGGGCTTGGTTTTGTGGTATGCTCTAAGAACCCTCAGCACGAAGTGATATATTGAAAACTGTGACAGATCCCGGTTTTCAT